TACCATATATATATATATATTATATTATATATTATATATTCTATATTATATATTATATATTATATACTATATATATATATATACTATATATAGTTAAATAAATATATGTATATATCTCGTTGTTTGCAAACATATGTATGCAGCACTTCAGATTGGTTCCTATATTTGCACACGTGTCTCCGAGTTTGCAGAATACTATGATGATTGTGCAGCAGGTGCTTGCCGGATCGAATCAATGTTTGATTTGCCCTGGCGTTTGCTTTCAGGCATTGTGTGCGCGGTTTTCTTGCCAATGATCGTCAACCCTTTTCTGGCACCTGCGGTCCTCCACGCTTCGCAGACGCTGGGCGGCTGCTTGTTTCGAATGGATCTCTCAAACCCTGAACCCGAACCCATGCATAAACAAGCCTGTGCAAAACCCTAACTAAACCCAAGGTCCAAAGCACTAAACTCCAAACCCCGCAGTGCTTTCGCTTGATATTGAGCCCCAGGCGCCGGAAATGTTTGGGGTCTCCCTAGCACATATCAGGAGGCAGAGGACACGTGGGGAGGCGGGCTTTCGCAATACCCAGGTCCAGGGCTTTAGGGTTCGGGCGTTTACGGCTTTGGATATTTTTGGATTCAGGGGCAAACTAGAGTACACCCTGCCCTGCTTCAGGGCCAACTGCATGCTGCGGTTGAACTGCTTGCCCGAAGCCCGCGGCTATTAAAAGAAGCAGAGCCGCTCCATTGTGCCCTTATGTTTCTTGCACGCAGGACTTCGTAGCTTGCCTCTGCCGCTACGCTTTCCTCACATTCTCAAACCTGTTCCTGATGAGGCACGAGGGGCCTGGGGGGATGAAGCCTGTTCGAGTTTTTTTGGATGCATGTGTTTCCGCCGATGGTTCCTTCCGCACCTCCTCGCGAGTGCCGCAGCAAGATATCGTGCAGATATGGATGGCGCATCTGTCCAGCACTTCCAGCAGTAGCAGTAGCATATCTCGATGGCAGGGAGAATGGTCGGAAGAAATAGGGTACGTTTGCTCATGGTGATTCACAGACACACATACATACATACTTACATACATACAGGCAGACAGACAGATAGACAGACAGACACGATATAAAGTGCATAGGGCATATAGCATCTGCATATGTGCGTGTATACACATACATACTACATCGCATATATGCACACACAGAGAGCATGTGTACAGATATTTTTTTCGATTGATTCATTTACGAGGCTGCAGACTGCACGAACTTGTCTCTTTGTCGATCTGGCCATTTGTGTGCATGCCTGTCTGTGTCTCGCGCATACCTCAGCACATAACATATACATGTGCGTACATGTCTATACATGCGCATTTATGATGTGGTTGATGTGTGTATGTTACGTGTACATATAAATATATATATATATATATGTACAGATATATATATATATATATGTATATGTATACACATATACACACACGCCAGTGTAGACGTGTAGCCCCGACAAAGTGCGCGCATGAACAAAACCAAAAACCAATGGACCGACGGATCTAGAGTATGGTCGCATCGTTCAGTCTTGGGCAACACGCCAGCACACCGTCGCTACTCAAGTGCGTGAGGCTGCCGCAAAGCGGAGAGGTTGCTCATCATCAATAGTCTCATCGATACTATAGAAAACTTTACATAATATCCAATGTAAACATTGTTGTAATCACGAGTCGCACTAATACGTAGTGCCAAGGTATGATAGGACCAGTATGTTTTCATATTAGCGGATGCAGTTAGCAGCCTTGGGTTGGCCTTGACACGCACAGGGCGATTCGTTCAACCAACATCAAGCCCAGTTTCATCCCATGGGTGATGATGGCGAACTCCGCCGTGTCGCAGCAAAATTATTTCGGCCCTTCTTAGTTTAACAAGCATGCGCATGTGGCAGGAAGTGAAACGATAGACTGGGGTGATCTTTCGATTCTCTTTGTTTGCGCAGGTCCATAGCATGCAAGGGTTAGGAATCCCGAATGCAGCGTGAGTTATCAAATCTTGTGCATGCTAGTCGCTGCTAGTCACTAGTCAGATGAACCGCCAGACCCCTACCCTGTTCTGTCGTTACGTCTTGCGTCAAGCGATCATGATGAAATCACTATGTTGTTGCTGTCTTTGTCTTCGTAGCCACTGGGATGCAGTGACTGTGTTCCGCATGACTATGATTCGTGATGATTCTGACCAAGCGTCCGAGGTAAATCGATCCGGCTTCTATAGAGGCCCGGAAGAGAGGCCGCCAGAAAAAGAGGTTTTGCATGCCGGTTTTGTCCAAGGGTCAGAGTCAGCACAGCATCTGACATCTGAGGCCATTCCATTTGCTGGACCTGATGATCTTGAGAAGCTTGGCCCGCATTTGGTATGCGAATACATACAAACGTGCAGACACACACACATACATCCATACATATATACAGACATACATACATACATACAGACATACATACATACTACATACATTTGTTCAACCTCTGTCGCTGTTGGTGTTGGTGTTGCTGTTGCTGTTGCTGTTGCTGTTGGTGGTGTTGTTGTTGTGGTAGTAGTGGTGGTAGTAGCAATGGCAAAAGCAGGAGTAGCGGTAGTAGCAGTAGCAGTGAAGTAGTAGTAGTAGTAGTAGTAGTAGTTAGCTACTACTACAGCTGCTGCGACTACTTCGACTACTGCGACTACGACTACTACTACTACTACTACTACTACTACTACGACTTCTTACTATTACTACTACTGCTACTGCTGCTGCTACTGCTTCTACTACTACTACTACTACTACTACTACTACTAGTACTGCTACTACTTCTTCTACTACTGTTACTTACTATTCACATTTACTACTTACTAGTTAGTGGTCGCTATTTACTACTTATTATTA